GGGCAAGCTCCTTGCTTCAGTTTATAATGGTTCCCCTTCCTATGAAACCTCCTGTAACAGTATGTTCCCCTCCACCCAAACATTGCTGGAGAAGACCAAATGGCCAGATAACTAACCTTCCACAAATTCACACTCCCTCAGCACCAAGAGGTGCTTTTTGCCCTTCAGATACTCTAGCAATCATCTGAGCCATACTCCTGACACGTTTGCTCAATTTCAGGAATCATTCTATTGCGTCCCCAACTCCTCCGCTTCTCTGTATTAGCTGATGGTGACCTCATCAGCTGATGGTGACCACTGAGACCATGAAGACAACATAGAAGGAGCTCTTCACAGGATCTCCTGACTTTGAGATTGCTCCATGTGGTAGTACATTCACTCCTTCTTCTTGCTGTAGTCTGAACATTCCTGCCTCCCCCCATTCACATGCTGGAGTCCTAAAGCCTCAGCAAATGGTGTCAGAAAGGGTTATTAGGTCATGAGGTGGAGCCCTCATGAGTGGGATTAGTGTTCTTATGAAGGAGACCCAGAGAGCTCCCTTGCCGCTTCTGCCATGTGAAGACACAGGGAGAAGGCACTGGCTATAAGCCAGGAAGGGGCTCTCACCAGACCACACTGGCACCTTGATCTTGCTTTAACTTCCAGCCTCCAGGTCTGTGAGCCACACCTTTCTGCTATTTATAAGACAGTCTGTGGGATTTTGTTACAGCAGCCTGTATGGACTAAGACACATCTCTTCTGTCTCAAAACTGAAATGTTTACAGATATTCATAGGAGCCTTATTTGTAGTGGCCCAAAGCTGAAAACAATCCAGATACCTATCCACACATACATGGATTGACAAACTGTGGCATGTCGATGCAATGGTTTGCGACTCAGCAATGAAAAGCAGTGAGCTACTGATTTGTCGTACAAGTCAGATGAATCTAAAAGCAATGATGCTGAGTGAGAGAAGCCAGGCAAAAAGAACCCAAAACATTTGAGTTTGTTAATATAAAGTTCTAAAAATTAAAAGCTAAGCTAGAGTCAGAGAAGCAGATCCATGGGTTCCCCTGGGAAGGAGGTAGAGGCCAAGGAGGAAAGATCATAGAGGGGTATGAGACAACTTTGAGGGTGATGGATATGCTGCTTACACCGTCTGTACATACGTCAACACTCATCAAATCTTACACTGTAAATACACATAGGTTATTGCATGTCAATTATATATTAATAAAGCTATAAAAAACAAAGTATTTCTTCTTCTTTCCTAGACTACCTGCTCTATCTGTATACCCTTGGTCACCTCTCCTGAGTCATCATTCCCCAGCTCTTGTTTCCTGTCCCTACCACCTGTCCCCACAGGTGCCTTCTCTTCGGCATAAAATAGGATCTGAAATCTATTCCTGTACAAACTGCTTTCTCTGAAATCTTACACTCATTGGTTGTTGTCTTTTGTTTCTCTTTACTCCAAGTGTTTATGATGGGTAGTGCACTCTACTCCCCCGCCCCCCAATCATTCCCATTTATTTCTCCACTCCTGCCCCTGCCCCCCGTCATCTCTCCCCAACACTCTAGGGGCACTGCTTTCTCTCTGTCTCCAGTGATGCCAACTTCAATAATGTCTTCTGAGTTCACACCTGCCACGCTGCCCTGACAACACTCTTCTGGTTCATCCTCCACACTGGATACCCAGTGGACATTCCATTCATATCTCACTCGGCTCCGTGCTTTCCAAACCTCACCACTTATGAGTTTTTCAAGGATCTGCCTACTCTTCTCTTCATTCCCTATAATTTGCAAATGTATCTATTCAGGCCTCTCCATACAATGGCTCACCCTTAGCTCTGACCAGTTTCTGTCTATTTATTACCTCTAGCGAGAAGATTCAAAGAACCTTATCAATGAGTCTGGTGGGCTCATTCTTGGTCTCTATATGTGGATATGGGGCTCCTCAGTGGCTCCAGGGATGAGGCACCTATTCTCAGCTTCTGAACAGATAGGACACCATGAAAACCAAGGAAAGAGAGTGATTCCCAAGGCTTGTCTTCATGGTACTAATCCAAGGGTCTTTCCCTAGGAATCTGGTATGATGTCAGGAGCCTGAACTTCCAGGGACCATCCCAGAAAACTAGAGAATGGAGTTGGGCAGGAAGAAAAAGAGCCTGAAGTGGATCTTGTTGGAACCTAACACATATGTGCCAAAAAACCAAGCTGTGTCTAAAGTCAGGCCACCTTTAAGACTTTTTGTTGTATAAGTCAATACATTCCTTGCTGAATTTTCTGTTACTAGCAACCAAAAGTTTATGAAATGCATATTCTTTCAACCATGATGTTGAGGGACATCCCTCCACAAGTGTTCCTTCCATCATAGAAATACACTAAAGCCTTAAAAATCTATGTTCTAGAGCTTGTCACGTTATAATCATAATAGAACAGAGAGCACATCTGCTCACTGTTTCATGGTGACACCGTACCTAGGGTACTCTGGACACCTAACACCCTGTTCAACTTTGTGTTGGTCTCTAAAGAGTTTTTTTTTTGAGAGGAGGATGTTGAGCACCACAACTTCGCAATTGGATTAAGGTCTCCTTTTAGGTACCCATCATTAACCCACCCTTTTAAAATTTCATTTTATAACTCTTCTGGCTTAAACTCTTCTAGGTGGTTCCCCATTGCCTCTAATGTGGAATTCCACCCACCTATCAAATCCACCAGGCTTGTGGGATATGATCCCTGGTGACTGCCCCCATTTCATCCTTTGCCACTGCACCCCCAAACCTTCACAGTGGCCTCTTTTAAATTCTTTGAATAAGTCAAGATCTTTTCAACCTTGGTATTATTGGCCTCAGTACTCCTTCTATCTGGAAAGATCATCTTCTCATCTTTAATACCATCTTCTTGAAGACATCATCCTAGACTACTTATCTGCTGTCAGTACCCATGATCTTAATCCTCCGTTTGTACCTATCTTTTTCTAAAGAGCAGGTATCACAATTTGCGTTTCTACAAGCTGTTTGATCTACACGTGTTCACTCTATGACTTTCACATAAAGTTATAAGAGAAAAAGGATTATTTCTGTTCAGTTCAACCATATGACATGGGATGAGTCCTGGCCATAGTAGATGCTTAAAAATATTCATGAATGAATGAACCTTCCATAGCAAGTTAGTATACTTGCTGTGTATTGACGATTAATGGATAATGTCCAATTGGACACTATTATCCCTTTTTTAGTCCTAAAATAACCTTCTGAGGCCCCACCATCATAGACTGTCACAGAATAACCCAAAACAAATAAATAGCAACACCATCACTATAACCTGGTAGTCAACACAATGGTAACAAACACCTGCTAAAACAGCAAGCCCATTCAATGAAGTCATCCCTAAGTTTGAATAGCCAGCTATACAGACAATAGCAGCACTAATCACAAAACCTCAAATGTGTTAATAATCCAAATGCCCGTCAGTGAACGGAGGGACATACAGGGTGGCATATCCATATAATGGAATTATATTCAGTCACAGAAAGGAATAAAGTACTGATACATGCTACAGTGTGGATGAACCTTGAAAACATTCTATTAAGTAAAAAAAGCCAGTCACAAAAGGTCATACATGGTATGATTCCACTTTTAGAAAATACTTGGAAAAGGCAAATCCATACAGACAGAAAGCACATTTGTAGGAATGCGGAGTGTCTGCTTAATGGGTACGGGGTTTCCTCCTGGGGTGAGGAAAATGTTCTGTAACTAGATATGGTATTAGCTGCACTGAAGTCTGAATGTTCTCAATCCCATTGAATTGTATACAATAAACTCACTAAAATGGTAAAATTCATCTCACAGACATATTTTACTACAATTAAAAAAGGGAAGGTGGGCAATACACAATGTTAGAATGTATACTATTTTTAAAAATCTCCAAACCTAACCTCCAAAGGAAGTACCAGGTAGCAAAGTACTAAATGGTTACTTGAAAGTCCAAAAAACCCCTCCTGCTTCAAACCAAGAAATTCCTTCACAAATTCTGGTTTTTCAGAGGCCTGGGGCAGTAGAGAGAGGCACAATTGCCTTCCATCTATAAAATGTTCTGGATTAGAGGCTTGGTGTGCCCAGGCTTGTAAAGAATTCCTCAGAACAAGATTTCTCAAATGTACAGATAGATCTTGTGGTGTGCATGGTTATTTTAGGTCATGCACAAATGAACAAGTGTTTAATTTTAATAATTAGTTTTGTTTAAGCTTATCTTTGATTCATAACCAACAATGCTCCTTTTTAATTTATGGTGGTGGTAAAATGTATCTTTTTTTTTCTGTGGGCTTGCTTCTAATCCATGGAATGCATTCACATGCAATAAAATGTACTCTTTTTGGTGTATAAAGTACTGTAAACAAACAGCCACCATCAAAATATAGAATACTGCATGAGCCCCCAGAATTCTCTGGTACTGTCCATTTGCAGGACAGGCCTCCCCGACCCCACTACTCACAGAAAACACAAAAGAACACAGGTGAATCTCAAAGAAGATATGCAGAAGGCTAAAGAAGCTGAAGAAGACAGGGGCGGGGACGGGTAGGAGCTGTGGATGGGCATGAAGTCTCTTTCTCGGGGACAGAAATATTCCGAAATTAGACTGTGCCAAATGGTTGCACAACTCTGCAAATGCACAAGGAATTGGTGACTTGTGCTCCAAAAATCAGTGAATTTTATGGTATATAAATTATACCTTGATAAAGCCGTTTAAAAAATCACACAGTATATAATTCTACTGAGAGGACATTATTCCAGAAAAGGCAAAACAATAGGAACAGAAATTATATGAGCGTTGATTTAAAATGCGTTGAATTTAAGTAACAGGAGAGGAGGCCTGCAGACAGGTGAATTCTGCGAGCTGCTGCGATAGGGACGGGCTCACGGATTGCTCTGTTCCAGGAGCCCTTGTGGGGTGGGGTGGCTTACCATCACCACCCCGCCCCCCCCCCCGCCCCCCAGTGCCCGGGACCCGCGCCCACTTACTGTGGCGGTGCCCGACACGGTCTGCGCGCTCGTGTCCGCTGCGCTCTGCTCGGAGTGCGTCTGGGCGGGAGGATACAGGTTTAACGTGTGCTCAGGGACGGTAGTCTGGCCAGTGTACTCTGGCGCGGGGTGGGGATGAGGGGCCGTGTATTCCGCGGGGATGCCGTTCTGGGGGGGAGCAAACTGGGCCGAAGCGTAAGGCTGAGCCATTGTGTCTGGGGCAGCTGCGGCTTCCTGATTACCCTGGAAAACCAGAAAGGGGGAGAGAAGGTGAAACATGGTGAGCACGAACCAGGCAGAACCTCTCCCTGGGGCCCAAGGGCGAGCACTCCCCCGACACTTTGCAGGTGCCAGAACTGTGCCAAGACACAGAGACGGATGCATCCCGCTTAATCTGCGCCAGACTCTGTAAGGAAACAGTACCTGTCATTTATATAGACCCAACCCCATTGCGCAGATGCAGAAATCAAGGCTGAGAAAGGTGCAGGGCAGTCACATTCCCCAAGCCATCCAACCCCATAGCCAAAGAGTGAGAGGGTCTGTGCCCTGCTCGACTGGATTTTTCTGGCAGAGCCTCCTTATTTCATCCCCATTTTGGAACATGTGAGCATGTAGTTGTCTCCAGTGACAGCAGAGTCTTGATTTGATACTTAAAATGCCAAGAGAGAGATTAAATTGAACGTGTGTGTTCTTGAGAAGAGAGACAATTCATCTAAGCGTTTGAATTTAATCAAAGTTTTATGTGACTTGGCTCACATAATGGGATGGGGGGGGGTCCTTTTAATGGTCACTGTGTGTGTGTGTGTGTGTGTGTGAGAGACAGAGAGAGAGAGAGAGGAGGAGAGAGAGAGAAGGAGAGAGAGAGAAGGGGAGAGAGAGAGAGAGAGAGAGAGATGTTCCCAATGCTAATATGAAGCAGCCAATGGGAAGTCAAGGCCTAATTTGGACAAAGATGGCACTCTGTGATACTGTGTTCACCATTTTAAGTATCTTTGCAAAATGCTGGACTTCACTCAGCCTCATTAGTCAATGCCACCCCCCATCCCTTGCCTTATTTTTTTTTTAATAAGCAGAGTATTATATAACAATTCACCCTTCCAATCTAGGCAAAACATGCAGTGTGATAATTACAGTCAAGTCTAAAGAATTTTTAAAAAATCCCTGAATTCAAATGCTTCCATTTCAGGAAATCTCTCTCTCTCCACCCCCACCCCTACCCTTATAACTCTACTACCCTACACACACACACACACACACACACACACACACACACACACACACACAGCCATCAGAAACTGTAACCCAGAGGGCCAAATTTTTCATGGTCTCAAGAGATGGGAATGCATAGTCAGAGAGAGAGAGAGAGAGAGAAGCTTAGCAATTAAGCACACCAAATAGCTGCCTCTTCCATTGTCTGTGGTCAATTAGATGTGACTTCAGCCCTCATATAATGATACCAGGGCAAAAATGTCAGGATTGCTCACATCTCCTCAGTCCTTGCCACCAACATTTGAGAGCCTCTTCAGCTAAAGCAACTTGAGTGCAGCAAAAACATTATGACATAGAAGGGGAGAAAAAATAAGTTTATTCTCAGAGCAGCCCACAGACCTTGTGCATTTGTTTAGAGGGGACCTTAATTAGAATGTTAAAGACGACACTTTGAAGAGAACGAAGCTTAGGATAAGTTTAAACCATTTTACAAGTGAAAACATTCCCATCGCGCGCCCTTTCCTCCCCCAGTCGAATGTCTCCAAATGTCTGTGGCATTGGAACCAGAAATGCCCAGCCACTGCTTGCTTTCTAGCATCTTTTCCTAGCATCTGGGCTGAGCCGGGTCTGTCTGTGCTGTGCCTGGATCCCTGTCCGTGGAAACTTAACCCTGACTATCCTGAAGAAGCCAGAGGGGACACTCATGGTCATTGCTGCTTAGTGTGCTTTTGTCTTTTCTTCAAGAAGAGCACCTGCTTTCTCTTTAGGGGACACTTCCACTCTCAGCCCACAGAGTGCAGACGTGGCTGAGCCCCGCCTCGGATCACCTCCAGACAAAGTCAAGATACCCTGGCTAATCAGAGGACTATAAAAATAATTCAGTCCTTGAGCTGCCGCTTGAAAAGGGACCACCTAAAGCAGAAGCCACAACATGAGGACAACGGAGCCCAGAAACTGAGAAAAAAGTGAACTCAGCCCTGGCGACATCATGGCAGGTCTTGGGTCCAGCTCTACCTGCAGTTAGTTAACACCACTGTTTCTTTTAGTTCCACGTGTCAGTAAATGTCTCATTTTTTAAAGATAGTTTGTTTTCCTGTTACTTACAAACAATAGAGTCTGGACTAGAGAGAATAACAACATCCTCTCCTGTTTATAAGCCAACTAGCACCCTTCTCTTCTACGGGGCTGCTGAAGCAACATATCCCTCTGTACACAGATTCCTTGCGGACGCTACTTCTCTCTGGCCGGCAAGACCTTGAAACCCTCCAAAGGGAAATTCATTGTGCCAGATTCTACTTCTGGCCAAAGGCCTGTTCCATTCCCCCCCACACCCTCGATCCAGCACACCTTTGAATTGAAAACCAGACTTGAGAAAATGCCCAGTGTGGCCCCACGGGGACATGAAATGCCCAACAATGGCAGAGAGATGGTCACACAGAGAAGACGCTTTCCCTCCTGTGCCTCTATCAGAAAACAGTGTTATTGAACAATTATGTCCATGGGGCCTTTCTGCATGCAGAGCAATCTCAGGAAGAGTGACCTGGCCTCTGCAGGTTCCCAAAACCATCAGGGGCTTTCTCTTAGGATCTGGGCTCTCTCTGCAAGAGGAGAAGGGCTTGCCCTCAAGAAGCCAACAATCACTCCATAGTCTCAACACTGTTGACTCTACCCATTCACTGCCCCTGTGCCTGGAAAGCTCTCTCTACTCCCTGGTTTGACTAGTCTTGCTGCCCTTTTGGGTCCCCAAACAAGTCCTCTAGCCAGCTTTCCCTGATGCTGAGCCCACTTCAGCTGTGTGTCCTCTATGCTCCACTGAAACTTATGACCACATCTCACATAACTGCTAGTGCTGCCGCTGGAAAGAGCACTAAGGGCTGGGGACAGTGTCACATTCTCCACTCCATCTCCAGTGTCCCACAGCATGCTAGCTGCAGTGTAGGCATTTATAAGTACTTGCTAAGTGAATGCATGCTTGACTGATGAGCTTTAGGCTCTGTGAAGCTTAACCTGGCAACAGGACATAGGGCAGGTCCCGGGGAGTAGGAGAGGGGTTGGCAAATGACCCATGAGACAAGCCTGGCCCACTGGTTGTTTTGTAAATAAAGTTTTACTGGGACACGACCATGTTCATTGCGCTATAATGGCAGAATTGAGTAGTTGTGAGAGATCCACAAAACCTAAACTATTTAACCATCTTGCCCTTTGCAGAAAAGTTTTCCAATCAATGTGGTCGAGGTGTCACTAAATATGAGAACATCAATTAAGAAGGCACCACTGCATAAATAGTTTGGGCAGGAAATAAAGTGGACAGTAAAACCAGGAGAGAGTCAAGGGGGGGGTGCATTCTCCCTAAAATCAAGGAGGTATGCTCAGCTAGAGCTGTGGATGGGCAGTGCTGAGGATGGCGCCCAGCAGAGGAGTGAGTCTTCTTCAGAATGTGGTTTCCATTTCTGCAGGTCTGCGCTCGAAGCACACATACACACACATACACAGGCTTCACACTCAGCATAGTGGGCTGCAGAGGGGAAGATCCATGATGTCCTCAGGCTTCTGTGCTCAGGATAAAAGCACCCCTCTCCTCACAGGTGCTCAGAAGGCACACTGATGGAATTTGGTTTCCTCTCAGGCCTGGAAGGTACTAGGCACTGTGCTGGGGGCTTTGCATCAGTCTTTCTTTTTAAAAATTTAATTTATTTTTATTATTTTTTAAATGTTCATTTTATTTTAGAGAGAGAGAGACAGAGTGTGAGCAGGGGAGGGGCAGAGAGACAGGGAGACACAGAATCCAAAGTGGGCTCTAGTCTCCGAGCTGTCAGCACACAGCCTGACACAGGGCTTGAATTCATGAACTGCGAGATCATGGCCCGAGTGGAAGTTGGATGCTCAACTGACTGAGCCACCCAGGTGTCCCTGTATCTCTTACACAGGATGACTGCTCCCTGGGGGACAGCCGATAGTGTGTGCAGACACTTTAGGTTGTCACCAGTGGGGAGAAGGGTTGCTGCTAACGTCTAGATGGTAGAGGCCACGGATGGTGCTAGACACCTTACGAGGCACAGGACAGCTCCCTCAAAGGACACCTGAGCCCCAAGTGTTCAATGTTCCCACACCCAGAATCCCTGTTCTGCACACATTTGTTGTGTCTCTCATCCCGTGTTACTTTGCTGTGGAGGACCCTGCAGCAAGGTCACCACGACAAGTAGCTCTTAGGGAAGTCAGGAGCTGAACTAAAGCCTGGGTGTCTCTCATCTGCCAAGGCTATCACCTGGTGGCAAGGTTCATTCCCATTTTTAAACATACCTTTCTCTGTCATACATATACCATGGCCTCAGGACCTGCAACTCACCCTCCAGGAAGGCAGGTCCTGGGGGATGTGGTGCAAAAATACCAGTGTCCCAAAAGCCGGACTGGCCCCTGGTGAAGGTTAGAGCGGCAGCCTGGGAAATCTGTGCCATGTAAGCCCAGGGCCTAGCGTCATGAGGCTCTGAGGCCATCCTAGGCAAGGGAAGGGCTAACTGGGGACAAACCACCAACCTCTAGGAAGCCTTGTGCATTCTGGCACACCCCGGGCACTGAGCCCTAGGGTTGTGTCTGTGGCCACCCAGGAACCTGCAGGTGGCATTTGGGTCCACGGGGCTTTAGACCACACTCCTGTTCCAGAAGTCCTCAACCAGGTGTTAGTGGGACCTCCCGCAGTTACTTATTAACACTGACAGCCATCCCAGAGAGGCCCTAATTAATATTCCCAACATTTGCACTTTGGGCTAATTACAGCTAATATTTAATTAAGATCACTGTGCTTCCTATGGAATTATTTTTCACCTTCAAATGGCTTCAGAGATGTCTTTGTTTCCTCCCCAGCAATGTTCCTGGATTTTTAGCTTGGCTGAAGTGTGTTTTCTGGAAAAATACATGCATGTTAAGGGCACCTTTGGCACTCCAGGTCAAGGCAAATTTTGGGCACACGTAAAGGATCCTGGATGAAAGCTGAGGCCATCTTCATGTAGGTGACAGTGGCAGACAAAAATTATTTG